ACAACATTTCCTTGTCTGGTACCACCATGAACATGACACAATATTTCCTTGTCTGGTACAACCATGAACATGACACAATATTTCCTTGTCTCTGGTACCACCATGAACATGACACAATATTTCATTGTCTCTGGTACCACTATGAACATGACACAATATTTCTTTGTGTGATACTATTGTGTAATATGAATTTTTAACTGATACTTCTACACTGATTGGCCCCATTGTGAAGACGAATTTTTTAAATTGACTCTACTCTCCTGTCTGGACATGCTTTAAAAGAAAAGAAAAAACAAATGCAAATTAACAGGAGTCAAGAAAAGAAAACAAAGACAATACGTACATTAGCAGCTTTTGAAGAAGTTAAAAACCTTTATAACCTCTAGCTGGCAACTTTTTTTTTCTTCTTCTTCTATTAATGAGATTTTTTCTTTGATTTCCTCTCCTGATGCTCTGTCACGTTTCCATGGTAACGAGACGCTGGGAAACAGACATGCCTCTATATATATATATTATATCTGCTCAGCCCCACAACTCCGTGAAGATTGTCAATACGTGGGTAACCTAACTAATGCTTTTTTATTTCACTTCAATGATTTATTGATTAAAAAAACACCTGAAGTGTTAAATATTATTGTATGAGATTTCATACCTAAAAGTTATAGATGTATTCTTACAAAGAAACAGTAATATTACAAAACACGACACACACACACACGCGACTTTTTTATTTCTCAACGTAGTGTCTCAAAAGAAACTGTGATTTTGGTATGAAGAAAATCTCTTGCAAGACAGAGAATATTGTCGCTGATTACAACACCCTTATTGAAATAGTTGTATTTAGCAGTCTACAGATAAAATACACGTATTTGTTTCTATGTCAATTCTTTGGGCTTTTGCTGCAATTTTCAGTTTTGTCACGAAAAAAAATCGTTTTATAATTTTCTCGTGTTCAGTACACGCGATATTGATTAATTGATACATATTGATTAATTGATACTGCTGCCTAATATTTGTTTAAGTGATAGATCAAAGTTTATTTAACAAAGAGGAAAACAAAACAAAATTTTGGCTAGAAGAACCCATGTTTACATTGTTGAATTGATTAGGACCAGAAACAGGCTAGAAGAACATGTTTACATTGTTGAATTGATTAGGACCAGAAACAGGCTAGAAGAACCCATGTTTACATTGTTGGATTGATTTGGACCAGAAACAGGCTAGAAGAACCCATTTTACATTGTTGAATTGATTAGGACCAGAAACAGGCTAGAAGAACCCATGTTTACATTGTTGGATTGATTTGGACCAGAAACAGGCTAGAAGAACCCATTTTACATTGTTGAATTGATTAGGACCAGAAACAGGCTAGAAGAACCCTTTTTACATTGTTGGATTGATTAGGACCAGAAACAGGCTAGAAGAACGTTTTTTTACATTGTTGGATTGATTTGAACCAGAAACAGGCTAGAAGAACCCTTTTTACATTGTTGGATTGATTAGGACCAGAAACAGGCTAGAAGAACCCATTTTTACATTGTTGAATTGATTAGGACCAGAAACATGCTAGAAGAACCCATGTTTACATTGTTGAATTGATTAGGACCAGAAACAGGCTAGAAGAACCCTTTTTACATTGTTGGATTGATTAGGACCAGAAACAGGCTAGAAGAACCCATTTTTACATTGTTGAATTGATTGGGACCAGAAACATGCTAGGAGAACCCATGTTTACATTGTTGAATTGATTAGGACCAGAAACAGGCTAGAAGAACGTTTTTTTACATTGTTGGATTGATTTGGACCAGAAACAGGCTAGAAGAACGTTTTTTTTACATTGTTGAATTGATTAGGACCAGAAACAGGCTAGAAGAACGT